GGGGGAAAAAAGAAAAACGATAGAAGAAAAGAGGAAAAGAAAGGGGAAAGTGGAAAGAGGGTAGCAAACACAGATAAAAAGAGGAAAAATAAGGAATTGGTTTCTTATCTGCTTGTTTGGGTTCACACAGGAAACTATTCAAAACCTTTTAGGGGAAGGGTTAAAATAATAGTGAACATTGACAGTCCAAGTAATTAATTAAACAATTAAAATAGGTGTACAAATAGACTGACATAGACCGTACTGCATTGCATTCAATTGTTTTGATTACAAACCAGATCTTATGTATATAAATACAGAAACATAAAATAAATAAGACTAGGAAAGTAGACAGTAAAACAGTAAAACAGTAAAACAGAAAAAGAAAAAGAGGTATTAAAGTGTGAAATGTGGAAAGGTAAAAAGAGAAGAGGAAAGTGAGAAAGAAGAGAAGGAAAGGAAAGTGGAAATGGAAGTTAGGTCGTAGAAGGAGGTTGAAAGTGTAGTGTGAGAATAGGAAATTAAGTAATCGCAAAGTAGAGAGGGGTGAATTAAAAGATGGGAAGTAAGGAGGAGAAAGAGGAGAAGGGAAAGAGATACGTGAGAGAGAGAATTACTGGGAAAAGGAAAGAGGGAATCAGAAGAAGGGTGGGGGGGAGGGAGTGTGGCGGGTTGAAGGAAAGACAATTTTGAAAGAAAAGGTACGTGCATACTTGGTGGTTATGATATTACATATAAGGGTGTTCCACATCATAGTTAATCGTTTAATTGCTTCTAATTCCGATTTTCTTTACTAATAAAATTTTTTCAAAAGAATGAGGCTAATATAAAAATGTGGATGCAGAAAATACAGGGTTTTTTCACGAAACATGACACTTGGTGAATAGTTTAGAATGTCTTCTTCCATAATTTGTTAAGTTTATTAATACCAAAGACAAAAATAAAATATTATACGGTAGTCATATTATAGTAAAATTGATTTCAAAGTAAAATACATTTGAGCAAAAGATTTTTTAATGAAATGAACTGAAAAAAAAACATTTAATATTATAATGCAGTATATTTAAGACGACATTCAAATCTATTTATCAACTGTCATGTTTCGTGGGACACCCTGTACTAGTTTTTGTATTATGTGCGTATTTTGGCGACAAAGCATGGAGATAATCCAATATGATTGATATGGGACTCTCAGTAAATTTAAAATACAAAAAAAAGAATTTACCTTTTTAATATTTAATTTAATATTTACTCATATTTTAAACAATATTCAAAACCGTGCTTGCATTAGTTTGAAATAGCTTGAGTCCCTAACTGTTCAGCGTACAAACTTTTGAGGTTTTCCCTAGTTCTGATCAAGGTAATAATAATTCTTTGGTTCTGATTATGCTTTTGAGGTTGCGGTGTTTTTGCGTGACCGAGATGTGTGATTAAGTAATGATAAAGTTATGATTCAGTAAGTTTGTAAGTATCTAGTAAAATAAACATATTTCCCTTCATTTGCCTCATCATTCATAAAAACCCCCAAAATGTCATTAAAAAACTGCAGTAACAGAAATGCTTAAGGGCTTCAAGAATTTCAAATAAATCCCAGGTATTCTTGACCTATTTGAAAGGAGTATTCGCGAAAAAATGAAAGGTTGTATAGGCTTACAGCGAAAAATAATCGCTATTGATCGCTATACTAATCTTACTTCTATTTGTTGCATCTATAAGAAAAAAATTGTTAAAAACGACTTATACTGAGAACGTAGCGTCCATACAAATTCCGAAAGTTGCAAATACGACTCGGTTTGTAAAAATACCAATTTAATTTCAAACAAATCATTCAGATATTACAACCTATAGTCATCGATTATTTTTCAACGCATTCGTATATAGTGAGTATTTCATGATATTTTTTATTCGTTTTGTATACAATGGCAGACACCTAGCGGAAAAAAGTTGTTTCAAGTGCATTGTGTATAAAACAAAACAAATATTGTGAAATATTAACTCTATGTGAATGCATCGAAATATAATCGATGACTTTAGGTTGTTCCCAGGTAACAAAAGTGAGGAATTTCCCCAGATTCTCTAACCATGGTGACTTTCTTTGAAGAATTTCCGAGGAATTTCTCAAGAATCATTTCCTGTAACTGATTCCTCGGAAATTCTCGAGAAATTTCCCAGCATTGGTCCCTAAGTTGAGAGATTTTTGGGGGATCACAGTTTTGAGACTCAGTTTCGAGAAATTCCTGAGAAATTCTTCAGAAATTTTCCCCAATAAATTTCTCTGGAATACTTCTCCGGAAATTCCTGAGAAATTCTTAGGACTTGGTCACAATATTTACGGATTTTTAGGGGAATTATTAAGAGAATTAGTTTTGAGCTCCAGAATTTCACCCCAAGAAAATCCTGAGAAATTCTCCTGAACACTTCTCCGGAAATTCCTGAGAAATTCTTTGGACTTGGTCACCAAGTTTACAGGTTTTAGAAGAATTAAATAAAAGAATAAGTTTCGAGAACTTGCTGGGAATTTCTCTGGAATTTTTCTCAAGAAATTCCTAAGAATTTCTCAGGATTATTTCTCAGGTAATTTCTGAGAAATTCTTAGGACCTCATCACAGAACTTTCAAGTTTCGTTTTTCTCCATGCATAAGGTGTCTCTATTATGCAGTGCCCTAATTAAATATTTTTTCTTTGCATCCTTATTGATAAAAAATGATAATTAACTTTAGAACCATCTTTCTAAAAACATATTTTGAAAAGTTTTTTTTTATTTTTTTCATTTTTACTTGACAATTCAGTTGTCTGAATAAATAAAATACATTACAACTTCAGTAAGATCAAAAACGACTAAAACGTTCTGACTTAAGAAGCTGGTTATACTTCTAAAAAGTTGGAGGGGCAATAAAGATAGTTGTTAAGTTATTTACTAATATTGGGTCTAAGTCCTGGTTAATGAATTTACTCAGGAATATGCTGAGAATATTTCAAGATATTCCTGAGGAACTCTTGAGAAAATCTTGGGAATAGTTCCCAGGAAATTCCCAGGAATTGGTTCTGAAGAATGTTTCTCTGGAAATTCCCAAGAATTTCCGCAAATTTTGTCGACATTTCTCCGGTTTTTCTGTAGAATTGGTAACAAGAAATTTTCTGGAATTAGTCACAAGAAAATCCTTGTATAGGGTTAGGAGAAATTCCTCGGAATGGGTTACAAGAAATTCCTCGCAACTGGGTATGGAAAATTTTTTGGAATGGGTTACGAAAAATTACTCGATATTGCTGTCGACATTTTCACCGGATTTTCCTGTGAAAGATTCCTGGGAATTTCCGCAAAATTGTTACTTGGGTTATGTCTGAATGATTTGTTTGAAATTAAAGTGATTATTTTACCATACAAGTCATATATTGCAACTTTCTGAATTTGTATAGACGCTACGTTCTTCAGTTTAAGTCATTTTTAACAATTTTCTCCTTATAGACGCAACAGATAAAAGTAATATTAGTAGCGATCAAAAGCGATTATTTTTCGCCGTAAGCCTATACCCCCTTTCATTTAAAGCGAACACTCCTTAAAGGGCAGAAAATGCTTCATTGTACAACCATAAACCAAAATGCTTCATTGTATAACCATAAACCAAAATGCTTCATTGAACAACCATAAACCACAAATTTTCTTCGCAAAGAGGGCTCTGCCACCCACCTGCAAGGAATAATAAGGGGAAGGGGCGGGAAGAAAGATGAAAGGAGAAGGGAAAGGGGTGAGAAGTGGAAAGAAATGAGAAGGGGAAGGTGGAAAGAAAAGAGAAGGGAAAGGAAAGGAAAAGGAGTGGGAAGAAAGAAGAAAGGCAAGGAATTGGAAGAAAGGAGAAGGGGAGGTGGTGGGAAGAAAGAAGAAAGGCAAGGAATTGGAAGAAAGGAGAAGGGGAGGTGGTGGGAAGAAAGAAGAAAGGCAAGGAATTGGAAGAAAGGAGAAGGGGAGGTGGTGGGAAGAAAGAAGAAAGGCAAGGAATTGGAAGAAAGGAGAAGGGGAGGTGGTGGGAAGAAAGAAGAAAGGTAAGAAATTGGAAGAAAGGAGAAGGGGAGGTGGTGGGAAGAAAGAAGAAAGGCAAGGAATTGGAAGAAAGGAGAAGGGGAGGTGGTGGGAAGAAAGAAGAAAGGCAAGGAATTGGAAGAAAGGAGAAAGGGAGGTGGTGGGAAGAAAGAAGAAAGGCAAGGAATTGGAAGAAAGGAGAAAGGGAGGTGGTGGGAAGAAAGAAGAAAGGAGAAGGGGGACGGGTGAGAAGAAATGAGAAGGGGAAGGGGTGAGAATAAAGGAGAAAGGAAGTGGTTGGAAGGAAGGAAAAGGTTTGTATAAGCTAGAAGAGAAGGAAATGAACAATATTAAAGTTTTATGTAAAAGTTTTGTTAAATCGCGTGTGTTGAAAATGTAAGTTTGCTTTTAGAATGTATTATTTATACTGCAATATGTAAATACATTTTATACTTCTTTTACTACATTCATTTTTATTTCCGACGTATATACTTGAATAAAAAAAAGAATTTTATATTTTCTTTTTTATGTTTTTCTTACTTCTCTAATTAGTTTAGTCTAGTGATATAATTTATATTGTGTTCTACTCTATAAACATTTATTAAACAAGAAGGGACTTGTAGGATAACACGTATATAAAGGTTTAAAGGAACCCTATTGAATCGAATATGCCACTTGAAAGTATGTGTACAGTCCCTTTAAAGTATTCTTTGTAACGCTTACCATTTTCGAACCAATTTGTATCAGAGGGTTCACGCTCTCTTCTAATTACATACTATGTTTTTATGCAAGAAGTCAGTGTTTTTATAATATATTTATTACAAGGGCAGCCGTAGTACGTTTGAATTTCCGAGCCGGGTCAACCTTTCCGGTCCCAGTTTGTACTGCATTAGCTCTATGGACAGGACTAGCCGGTGCAAAAACGTTGACGCGGTCAGACTTTATGCTTCATAAAGGTTTAATTTACTTTTACTGAAGGGGCAGAGGTGCGTGATGATAGTGTATTTTTTCCAAAGATTTAACAAGAACAAGAGATGGTATAAACTTTGTTTTAAATTCTGTAATTTTTGTTTATAATAACCTCGTATTTTTTCTATAAAAGTTACAACGACAGTACCCCATTAAATACAATGAATCTATTAGCAAATGTACCCCCGCAAACTACTGTACAGTTTTATGTACAACTTTTGAGATTCCTCGAGCAATCATTTCTTGGTTTTTATTTTCTGGAAGAACCCCAGTCTTGTAATTTATTCAATCTAGAAGTAAAAGTAAAGTAAAGTTAGTTCCTTTGTTTACTGGAAAACTGGTTTTCTTCGAAATGTGTCTCTACTGTCTACAGTCTTCAGTTTGTATGTCGATGTGCTTTCTCAATGGTGCGTCCTAAATGTGCCACCTTAATATGCGTCCGCAAGTTGCTTTCTTTATAAGTGCTGGAGCATTAAGTGTGCTCTTTTTTCCTGCAGATAATGTAAATAAGTTCTGTCAACCACACATCGAAAAAAGAACCTTATTTCTGAAGAAAAAAAATTGATCCCACTCTGGAAACATTTATACATATTTCATGTGGCGATGACGAAGTTGTCGGGTTAATAATTCTGGACTTTATATGTTCTTCATCGGTTTGTCGGAGACTAAATGTTTGTAGGCGTGGGCAAAATCAAACTTGTAATCTGTAAATGTTTAAAATCAAAATTTCCATTTATAATTGTATAAAGTAAAAAAGAGAAGGTAAGAGCAATTAAACTAAAAATGCTTAATTTTAAAATTTTCAAATGCTTTCAACCAATTTTTTAAAGGGTGAAACAGTAACTCAATTTTGTGCTTTTTTGATAAGGCTAAAGTGACAACATTGTTGGTGAAAGGGGGAGGAAGGAATTTCTCCGTTTGTCAGCTGTTAAAAGTTAAAAGTTCCTGTACTTTAGAGTGGAGCGCAGTCAGAGCAACTAATTTTATTATACAACCTTAGCATAAATGCTTTAAAACTGTCAATCTAATTTGCATTGTCTTGAAATAGTTTTTTGAAAAAAAGAACATAACAGTTGCAGTAAACCCATAATGTGAAAAAATCTCAATGAATTCCGAACAGTCGTCTCTGAAGTCTCTTTCTTTGAGGGAAACCCTGTATACATATCACTGATTATTTATAAATCTCTATATTCTTACTATATCCTTTACTCTTGACACTAAATGAAGGTTGACTAGGATTGACATTGTTGACAGTAGTATTCTAAATATTCTCAGTATATCAGATGCTTGTCTTAATATCAGATATACTTTACATAAAGGTACAGTATACTAAATATATCTCCAGAATATTAGATTCTTGTCTTATTATCAGATATACTTTACATAAAGGTACAGTATACTAAATATATCTCCAGAATATCAGATTCTTGTCTTATTATCAGATATACTTTACATAAAGGTACAGTAAACTAAATATATCTCCAGAATATCAGATCTACTTTAATAAAACAGTCTAGTAGAAATGATTAAGTAAAGAAATTACAAATTAAAAAAAGCTTGCTTAGAAACCCAGCTTTCCCTGGAAACTAAATCTATTCTACTAAATTTAGAACTTTAGAACGAAAGTAGGAACATATCTTTAGTTCTAATGAGTTACCAAATTAAAAGGAACTGAGTTCTTCTCACAAGATCTAATTTTCTAATTTTCTAATTTTCTAATTTTCTAATACCTTTATCTTTTCAAACCGATGAATTAGACTTTTGATATTTCAAAGTAAGAATTCTGTTAGATCAAATAGTCTAAGTTTGAAATATCTCAGGTTTGCACTTTCAGATTGCAACGATATTTGAATTTGTGGCAAAAATTCAGTTTCTTTGGAGCAGATATATCAATTGGCTCACCAATTATGATCGGAAAGGAACTGAGATATTTCAAACTATCATAATTTGATCTAAAATGATTGATAGTTTGAAATATCTAAGGTCTCCGACATTGAAATGCAAAGATATAGGGATAAGAAAATCAGAGTTTGTGACAAAAACTTAATTTCTTCAAAGATACAAACAGAGATTACTGAAATACCATGGATTAAAATGTGAATTAATATTAAAATGTGGATTTAAATCTAGCTTATTTAAAAAATATTTTGATAAATATTTAATGTTTATTTTCCGAAACTTAAAGTTAATTTTAGTATGAAGAAGGTGAAGGAAACTTTTCTCGCTAAAATTATATTTGAGGCTAGGATTGTATGAATGTAAATTAATTACACTTTAATTTAATTATTTCTGATAATTCCTGTAATCCACTGTTAGAATCAGAATTTGTAAATTTCTAATTTCAAATTCAAAATTGTGAAAGATAAAGTAAAAAAGTTTAAAATCCAGGACAACATTCTTAACCTTTACATTCTCTTTTAAAGTCGAAAATGTTCTTCCTTGAGGGTCGGAGAGGGGAAAAAGATAAAGAATCTGTTGTCAACCTAGAAACCCTAATACATCATTGTCACTGCAGGCTATTTCGCAGTTTCGGTATTTTTCAATCCATGAAAGTAATCTCGTTTTTAAAAGGATTAAAATGAATCTCGTCATCGTTTGCAATGAAAACTTTTTTTCTGGCAGTGTTTGGCAAAAATCAGATTGTTTAATTTCACTTTTTAGCAGATGGGATTGCCTTGCGATTGAATTTTATGAATGGAACCTATTCAAATCAATTCAATCAAATTCCAAAAGACAAACTGCTAAATATGAAAGTGCAAACTCCTGAAAGACAAACTGCTAAATAACAAATTACAAACTCCTGTTAGACAAAATGCTGAAAGACAAACTGTTGTAAGACTAACTTCTGAAAGACAAACTGCTAAATTATAATTATAACAAATTCCTGAAACACAAATGGCGAAATAACAAACTTCTGAAAGACAAACTGCTGAATAAAAACTCCTGAAAGAAAAACTGCTAAATAACAAATTCCTAAAAGACAAACTGCTGAATAACAAACTCTTGTATGACAAACTGCTAAATAACAAACTTCTGAAAGGCAAACTGCTATAAATCACAAAATCCTAAAACACAAACTGCTAAATAAGAAACTCCTGAATCACAAACTGATGAATGATAAACTCCTAAAAGACAAACTCCTGAAAGAAGAACTTCTAAATAACATATTCCTAAGTAATGAAATCCTGAAACAAAAGCTGGTTAAAACAAACTCCTGAAAGAAAAACTTCTGAAACACAAACTTCTGAAACACAAACTTCTGAAACACAAACTTAGAAACACAAACTTCTGAAACACAAACCGCTAAAAACGAACTGCGGTAAGACAAATTGCTGAAAGGTCAAGCTCCTAAAGTTTTCTTTTCCACAGATTTGGCTCTTTAATATATTCTAGCCACAGCGCTCGAGGCCTCTTGGCATATATCAGCTACAAGAATTCGGCTGAACCAAGCCTAGAAAAATATTTTTATCAAAATTAGAATTGTCTGTTATAATTTGTCATTGCAGTCAATTCAAATTAGCTAAAATCTATGAGTCTAACTTTTAGTTTAGAAATGGCGGCTTCTTTGTCTTTACTATTCTAAGGTTTAAACTAAAGTTATAATTCAACTTTAATTCTCTTCTCATTAGTCCAACTATACTTTAACCACAACAAAGAAGCTCTAAAACTTTTGTTAAACCTAAACCTACCATCCCTCTTTCCCTCCTGATCAGGGTTACCCCCTTTTTGTATTTTCCTATCAGGGTTTAAATACCTCCCACCCACTGTACCCTTCCTGATCATGAAAAATACTCCCAATATCCGTCCTGATTTGGGTAAATTTGGGCGACTTGCAAATTTTAAAAATATTTTTTAACTGGTGGAAAACCTTCAACCTTATATAATATTATATATGTATGCAGCTGTTCCTTCTTAACATGAACGTTAAAAAACGACCAAATAAGTAAGGTACTGTTGTGAATCGAACATGTACAGTCTACAAATGAAGAGTAACCGTTATTGTGATAAAATAGCAGGAACCTAAATTTGAGAAATAAGATTCTAATATTTTCATAGTTTACGCATATTTAACGTATATTTAACAAAAAATATATCAAAATTTTTGGAAAATATTGGTCGTCGAAGTTTCAAGATTTAAATTGTAAATTCGACTAATGGGGAGGATATTTACAGCAACCGTTTAAATAAGGCTTAATTCATGATAAAAGGGTTGTTCACGATTTCTAAAACAAGCTAATCGAAAAATTCCGTATTATTTCAGTATAGTTTGAAGGGTGTATTGAACTGAAACGTATATTTCCTAATTAAGTTTTATATAAAATTTGTCTTATTAAATTTCATTTTAGAAATATAGTCAGCTTTTGTTTTGCTTAGAAGTTTTGTCTTGGTTACAGCAATTACTGTTTAGAATTCGAATTTAAAAGCCGTTCTTATGTTTTTTTATTGAATGAGTTATTGCAAAAAGCTTGTAAAATGAAAAAGTTCGGGTTTTTAGTTTGAACTCATTCACTGGTCAGTTTGAATTTTTTTGAAAAATATTTGGGGTCTTCATTGGGATTTTAAAAATGTAAAGCGTTAAATTTTGGATTAGGATAAAATTGTTTCTATATAAAAAGGAGTCAAAAAAGACCGGGCTAAATTTTTTTTATTAAAAGATTTTAAACCTTTTCATTTTAGGTTTGTGCTGTATCGTTGTGAGAAAACAATTCTAAAGAAAAGAAACCAGGTAAAAAAAACAATGCAAACATAGACAGAATTATATGTTCCATATATGCGACATTACTGGTACGACTTTGTGACCTCCTCTTCTCCAGTTTTTACGCACAAGTATGAGAAAACCAGTTTATTCAGTTACAAATTCAGAACACTTTTGTTCTTTTCTGTAGTGTAGGTCTTTTCTTATGAGTTATGATTAAAAATATATAAAATTTTAGTATTACGTCAAACTTACTAATATTTTAACGTGAAATTGGAAGAAAAAAAAATATTCAGATACGATCGAAGTCCGTTGCTTTAGATTAACGAGAAATTGGAAAAAAAAATTCAGATATGATAAGTCCATTACTTTAGTTTAAAGGGAAATTTGTACAAAAATATTCAGACATGATAGATTAACGTGAAATTGGAAAATATTCATCTATGATAGATAAACGTGAAATTGGAAAAAGTATTCAGATACGATAAGTCCATTACTTTAGTTTTGCGGGAAATTGGTTAAAAATATTCAGATACGATAAATAAACGTGAAATTGGAAAACAATATTCAGATATGATAAGTCCATTGCTTTAGATTAGCGGGAAATTGGTTAAAAATATTCAGATACGATTAGTCCATTGCTTTAGATTAACGAGAAACTGGAAATATTCAGATATGATAAGTCCATTACTTTAGTTTAGCGGGAAATTGGTTGAAAATATTCAGATATGATAGATAAACGTGAAATTCCAAAAATATTTAGATATTATAAGTCCATTGCTATTGATTATCAAGAAATTTAACGTTAACGTTAGTTTAGCGTAAAATTTGTTAAAAATATTCAGATATGATAAGTTTAACTTAATACGATATCTGACAGCTGCTGGATTGAAGTTCATATTTGATTTTATGAAAAATCATGTTTATATATCGCTCTCCAAACTTTGTAAATATTAGCAAAGAATATTTCAATTATTTAGACCGTTTTGGATTTATCAAACAAATTGAAATCTGAAACAAATTCTGTAAATGCCATGTGAGCAGACCATATTTTAGCAAGCTTTTTTTAAAAAATGAATATGATGCCAGTATTTAGAAGTTTCACAAATAAAATGCCGCAATGTTTTCTTAAAAGTCAATACGTGATTCTTTCCTTATCAAGAAATTGAGATTTTTTTGCCGCCATTTTTTCCTTTATTACTTTTGTTTATTATTTTTTAGGCTCTAGCAACATACAACTGTTCCGTGTTTGCCGGAAATTTAACGATATTTTTAGGTTTTCCCCGGCACAGTTTACAATGAGAATTCCCCCCTTTATACTACAGGGTGTCTCAAAATGTCATGTAAATAAGTTTTTATTTAGTATTTGTCCGCCTCTTCTGAAAAGCTGTAATCCGTGTAATTCTAGTTTTAAGATTTTTAAATCTATTTGTTGCATAAGCTGATGTACTGTAGTAAAATGAAAATATAGACTGTATGCAATAATGGAACTGAGTTCCGTTCACTGTCTTGCAGAAATATACTGTTTTGCAGAACACCAAAACGGCATTTTTTGACCGTTTACTAAAAATATACTCTAGCAGACATATCTTTGTTGTTTCTTTTAAAATTAGGTACTGCAATGATAATTCTCAACAAATACAATATCGAAGTCGTTCAGTCAATCCTATGTTTATTGGTACACCCTGTATATACCAGGGGAGACTGAATGTAAATCCTATGTTTATTGGTACACCCTGTATATACCAGGGGAGACTGAATGTAAATCCTATGTTTATTGGTACACCCTGTATATACCAGGGGAGACTGAATGTAAATCCTATGTTTATTGGTATACCCTGTATATACCAGGGGAGACTGAATGTAAATTTCTTATATTTCAGCACAACAAAGGCTGCCCATCCCACTCTACTCTTTCATACATCTCAGTTTCTATACAGACAGGTAGGACAGGGGTAGGACAGGGGTAGGACAGGGGTAGGACAGGGGTAGGACAGGGGTAGGACAGGGGTAGGACAGGGGTAGGACAGGGGTAGGACAGGGGTAGGAAATGGGTAGGACATGGGTAGTACAGGGTTAGGACAAGTCTTTATTTGCTGTCTAAGTCAATGTGATATTTTACACTTATATATCTGATTTATGCGGTTCCATTTGAGAGCCAAGTAAATTAAATTTCAAAACAATAATCCTACGACGATGCCTATCACTTCAAAGTGCATTTTAGGTAGGGTTTCCGGCGAAAGATACGGTTCGCGAAACGATTTTCATTTTTCACTGGAAACCTTAATCTTAGAAAATATACAATTAAGATCAAATTTTTTCTCACCTAATGATTTATTTATTTATCGATAGATAATTGTATGTACAGTGTACATGTGTTTAGATCCGGTTCAGTACAACAACTTGAATCACTCCAACACAATACCTAGAATCTCCAACGGCAGCGCTAAAACCGGTTTAACCAGTCTCTACAGTCTATCCAGGAATTCCAAACCAAACCACATATAATTTTCACGGGTTTTTTACAGAGAAATCCGAGTAGATAAAATAATTAAATAATTAAAAATTGAGAATGTTTCTTTTATTTGACATTTTTGGGATTTTTTTCTTATAAAAATCATTTCATTTAGAAAGTTTTTTTTTTAAAAGAATTGTTTTAAAATAAATATTCTGGGCAAGTCTAAATGAAAACTTTAAAAGATTAAAAAGATCTATATTAAGACTATAAAAGGATTACAGAGGATGTTAACAATATTATAATGGTGCTTAACTGTCCTCTAATAGTGTGAACACTCTTTATCCATCCTCAACTAGGTATGGGAATCTTTATATATAAAGTAGTAATCTCTGTTTGTTATGTTTGTATGGATATATCCGAAGTTCAATCAGAAATCATTTAACCGATTTGCCTCAATTTTTTATTAAGAAACTGGGGAGACCCTCGAGAATGTTCTTAGCTTAGTTTTCAGATTCTAAGTTAGGTTGGTGGTATAATTTACGACCAAGTGCGGGTAAACGGTGGGAGTAACTATGAATAACCTAGTTAATAAAAAGAGTTACACTGTTCTGGAAAACAGAAATAAAACAACTGTTTCTATTACAGATAATTGTTTACAATGATATTGTGAGGCCCAAAAAACTGTGGAATAGAAAGACGACTTTTAAATCAAGTTTTAATATTCAATAAATGCAATGAACAGGAAAAACAGCAATTGTGCAGATGACAAAGAACCATTTCAATAACTGTACTAGAACACTTATCAAAATTTCCTTTTTTATTTTCCCTTATTAGATATGATCAAATAGATTATCAAGTACAATAGGTGGAAACAGAGAAATGAATCAATTATACACGACGCCACAAGGGTCAAATATAACATGAAAAACGAAATTTTCTCACATTAGTTGACATATTTTCCAAAATTAAATAAAAAACGTTTAAAAACAGAAAAATAAAGAATGCATAAAACTGCACTTATTTTACTGTGAGATAAGCACTTTATTCTAAAATTATCACTATTATTAATAATTTTGTCGAACACAAAAACTAAGTTGACGTAAGAATACAGCTGTACTGAGAGTGAAAAAATTCTCTACTTTGCCATCTATTGTTTCAGGGGTATATATTTCTACTAAAATATATTTAGTGTTCATAAGAATATATTTGGATTTGATAAATTTTTTTTAAAGATTTTGATCAGCAATTTCTAGAAAAAGAATCATTTTAAAAAATGTCTTATGACATGATGAGTTATGATCCAACATACAAACAAACAAACAGAGATTACTACTTCATATATTAATAATTATAAATGCATTATAAGTAATGTCTTAAAATAGATAATGTTGTCTATACAGCTCTGTTCCAAATCCGCAAAAAGTTTATCTTATGTTTGATTATTTTTTAAATCATACTTATATTCAGTGAGCAAGGAATTATCTACGATTAAACTACTTATTTCCTGAATGTTAATAAATTGACCAACGACCCAGAACATTTTTATCTCTCAAATATTTAAATTTTACTGAATTAATCTTACTTTAGATCTTGTAAATTGGTTAAGTTGAATGCAGAGAGCCATTTAAATTTTCTCTAATTTAGCGAAGTTTTTGAATTATTAAAATACCGTGATTAGAGATGGACGCGTTCGGGTTTTTTTATTTATTTCGTTCATCGTTCGTGAACGACCCATTTCGTTCGTTTTTTTTAATCGTTCAAAAAATATTGAATTTTTTCGTTCTCAAATGGTCTCACTGAACAATCGTTCAGTAAAATCGTGATCGTTCATAAAAATTTTTTTTTAGTTTGTTCGAGAAGCCGTTCGTTGATTCTTGCAACTGCAAATTCCGATATTTTCCGGATCAATATTTTGTGACGAATATTTCTCACGAAACCTTTCCTGCAGCTGTTTAAAATCCAAACTTTAGAAAAAATTGAAGAAAAATATTAAAATATAAGCATATTCTATTATCATCAAAAAAAATACACCCTCTTACATTGAATTAGGAGTGACACATTGAAAAATGTCCCCATAGCTTCTAGCTAGTAAATCTTTTGTTGAGTTTGGTTAAAAAAAATATATATCCTTGATTATGAAAGTTGTTTAAAGTTTTAACCATAAACTTGTTTTGGGAAAATTGTATTGTAAATTTTATGGAACCAAATTGTTCCGAAAAATTTCGACACCATGTATCGGATCTTGGTGAAATTATTCTAGCAAAGTATTTTTGAGTCAAAGGCTTTTTTTAAGTCTAACTGCAACAAAACAATTGTATTGTATTATGTATAGAGGATGAGACTTTAATGGCAACCTGAAACTTAAAAAATTCAGGGGTTTAAGTTTAAATTAGTATTTTTGCCATAAATACAGTCTTTAGATTGAAATCTAAAAGATTACGGTATTAGAAAAATCAAGTGCCCAGCTTCAAGGAACCATAAATGTGAGAAGAAAAAAATCCGCATGCTGGCTTTACAGTCTCATATTTTGTATCTAACCCTGTAAGTTCTTTTCAAACAAAATGGCGGAGATACTTATTTGGTTTGGTTTGGTCTAGGAACGGCAGTATAACAGCTGGATACCTGCTGCAGCCCCCTCATCCACGTGCTCAGGAGCACGAGCATCTCATGAAGAGAGATACAGAGCTGGATCATTATATAAAGCGAGACATTGAACAGGAACATCTTCTTAAACGAGATGATATTGAGATTCAGAGTAGAAGTCTTGTCATCTGTCATTCACCGGTAACTCAAGCAGAGCTTTATTTTCAGAGTGCGATTCACACTTTTAGAAATCCTTTACAATTCACACGCTGTTAGAAATCCTTTATAATTCACACACTGTTAGAAACCCTTTAGAATTTACACACTGTTTAAAATCCTTTACAGTTCACACACTGGAAGAAATCCTTTACAATTCACAAACTGTTAGAAATCCTTTACAATTCACTCACGCTTAGAAGTCCTTTAAATTCACACACTGTTATAATCCTTTAAAATTAACACACTGTCGTTTTAAATCCTTAACAATTCACACATTATTTTAAATCCTTTTTAAATACACATTGTTTTAAATCCTTTACAATTCACACGCTCTTTGAAATTCTTTAAAATTCACACACTGTTAGAAATTCTTTACAATTCAGGCACTGTTAGAAATCCTTTACAATATACACAGTGTTTAAAATGCTTTACAATTCACACACTGGTAAACATCCTTTACAATTCACTCACTGTTAGAAATTCTTTACAATTCAGGCACTGTTAGAAATCCTTTTAAGTTCACACACTTTAAGAAAAACTTTTCAATTCACACACTGTTATAAATCCTTTTTTATTCACACACTTTTTTTTATTGGTTGTTCCTAAGTATTGTTTCTTCTGGTTTGTTTTAGTAAATTGTGTGAAACTAATAGAATCTTATAAATCTTAGATAGAATCTTATTATTTTAGATAGAATCTTATAATCTGAGATAGAGTCTTATAAATCTTAGATGGAATCTTATAATCTTAGATAGAGTCTTATAAATCTTAGAAAGAATCTTATAAATCTTAGATAAAATCTTATAAATCTCAGAGAGAACCTTAAAGCTTAGATAGAATCTTTCAAACCTTTGATAGAATTTTATTAGAAATGCTTAACAAAAGGATATAAATAACTAAATCTAATCATTTGGACATAACAAAAATGTAGTTGAATTTATAACACAACATATGTGATAACACTCGAATATTTTTTTGAGAAAAAAATCAAAATACGCTTTATGCAGTGCTATCTTTCAGAATAGAAGAGAAAAAACATTATCAATTTCACTTATAGGATGAAACCTGAGAATCTCAGGTTTTGAACGATACATATAAGACATCTATCTTATGTTCCTGCCTCAAGAAATTGACATAAAACTGTGTCAAAATTATGCCAAAACGGGTATATGGCAGATTTTGTATAAAAGTTGTAGCATAAATTAGATCATATTCAACAATTAAGCGATTCTATATCTCACAGCAACCTGAAAATCTCAGGTTTGCTCCTAATATATTTATTTTATTTTTATTTTGCACTTTTTAAAGGCTAATTAATAATATTAATTACATTTAATCTATATAGTCCGTATTACGTCACCAGTACTTCAGCCAATGGCAGTGCAGTATACTGGTCACGTGATTCTATTCGAGGAATTATGATTGAGAAAAATAACAGACTTTAATTTTACATACAATTGAATTTAGATTAACGTGGTCTTTTCATAACAAAAATTTTGACTTTTTCATTCTTTATTTTTTATTTCTTATTCTGATTCTTTATTCTAATTTGATTAGTTTGCTAATTTAACAACATTGTTTCATTCATTAGTCTCTTTTCAGAGTTAGAATACTTTCTTGCTGAATTTAAAAAGTTTAAATGTTAAGTTTAAATATTAACTGTCGGTATTATTAAATCAAAATCAAAATTATTTGTCCTTCTGCTACCTACTCTGTTAACTCTGGGTCATGTAGAATAAACTGACAAAATATATTTTCATAAAACTGATTTTTTATCACCATTTAAAAGTTTTATGTGAAAGAAAGATTTATGACGGGGTAAAGTTTAGTATTTAAAGGGAGTGTTTACTTTTCATTGTACAAATTGAAGGGAATGTTCCCTATTCACTGAACAGATTAAAGGGACTGTTTCCTATTGACTGTACAGATTAAAGGGAGTGTTTCCTATTCAATGTTGAGATTAAAGGGAATGTACCCTATTTACTGTACAGATTAAAAGGAATATCCAATATTCACTGTGCAAATTAAAGGGAGTGTTTCCTATTCAATGTACAGTTTAAAGAGTGTGTTTCCTATTCACTGTACAGATTAAAGGGAGTGTTTCCTATCCACTTTCCAGATTAAAGGGAGTGTTCCCTATTTACTGTACAGATTAAAAGGAGTGTTCCCTTTTCACTGTACAGTTTAAAGAGTGTATTTCCTATTCACTGTACAGATTAAAGGGAGTGTTCCCTGTTCATTGTACATATTAAAGGGAGTGTTTCCTATTCACTGTAAAGAATAAAGTGAGTGTTCATTAATCACTTTACAGATCAAAGGGAGGGGAGTGTTCCCTATTTTCTGTACAGATCAAAGGGAGTGTTTCCTATTTACTGTACAGATTACAGAGAGTGGTCCCTATTCTATGTGCAGATTAAAGGAAATGTTTACTTTTCACTGTACAGATTAAAAGGAGTGTTTGCTATTCACTGTAGAGATTAAAGGGATTGTTCACTATTTACTGTACAGATTTAAGCGAGTGCTCACTAATCACTGTACAGATTAAAGGGAGTGTTTTATTTTCACTGTACAGGTTTAAGGGAGTGTTCCCTATTCACTGTACAGTTTAAAGAGTGTGTTTCCTATTCACTGTACAGATCAAGGGAGAGTTCCCTATTCACTGTAAAGAATAAAGTGAGTGTTCACTAAACACTTTACAGATCAAAAGGAGTGTCCCTATCTTCTATACAGATTAAAGGGAGTGTTTCCTATTTTATGTACAGATTAAAGGGAGTGTTCCCTATTTTCTGTGCAGATTAAAGGGAGTGTTTCCTATTTTCTGTACAGATTAAAGGTAGTGTTTCCTATTTACTTTACAGATTACAGGGAGTGGTCCCAATTCAATTACAGATTAAAGACGTATTTACTGTTTACTGTACGGATTCTTTAATTGTTTTATGACGAAATTATAAAAAACGCTATGGTATCTAAATATATATGGTATGAAGGAAAGAAAGAAACGCATCATGGATTACAGTCGGATAAAAATGTGGAAAAATTATGTCATTTAAACAATCTTATTTGTATTTGATGTTGTAATAAGAAAATAGTTTAAATCATTAGTTTGGTGAAGTGGGTCAGTTTACACTACACAATTGGACTTTTTAAATTTATAGCTTGATTTTAAAAGTCGTCTTCCTACTTCAAAGTTGTCTGGTTATCACTGTATATATTCTGCTCATACTTTTCCGTTAAAAAAGTTAAACAATGCATTTTTAAATAAAATATGTAAATATAATTTGAGTGAAAATATGAAGAAGTTCTAGAATATTAAATTATAATAACACATAAATAAAATAATATATATTTTCTTTAAATAAAAAAAATATAATGAATTGGTTAGTCCTAAGAAAATTACATTAAAATTTACTTTGACGAAATAATCCTCATGGAGGAAAATTAATTATAAAAATTGTGTAGCAACAAAAATTCTCTTTCAGGCCAAAAAATGCATCTAAACCTNTCATAAATATATTATATATTCGAATATTTAAATATACATATAGTGCTGGGTTACCCACACAAGATCAGACTTCACAGACGACATGCCAATCTAAGAGTTTTAGATCCGTGCCGGTACACCATGTTCTGTATTTGCATCTTGTCGTACGGTCCAGTCTGGCTACCCAGAGAAGAGTCGTTGTTCTAGTATGACCCTCATATTTTAGCTTCGCTGATGCAGTCTGTATTCTGTATAGTTTAAAGTTGTTATTTAATTAGGGACTTTATTCTTTATTTCAAGTGACCCTCCATGCAAAGAGGGTCATTACCTACTCTTTAAAGCTAGCTTTGTCTGATCAAGTATAAATTATATATCAAAGTTTTTTCCTTGCGCATTTATGCTGCAGGAAGCCATATAGGAATTGTTAAAATGGCACAATTACAAACCAAGAAAAATGACAATATCTTCCACATTATTGATAAGACTAAGGTTTTAAAAGGATAAACTGGATACAAGTATAGGAAAGGGGATAAAATTGGATAAAATGTACTATAGCATGGTCATACAATATGTGAATATTATTTTACGTTTAGTATTTTAGAAATATTTGCTGTTTTATTAAATATAGTTTAATTAGGTTTAGTTAAAATATCAAATATTAGTATCACAAAAAAAGTTTAAAAATATATTCGTAAATATAATTTACAAATATTGAAGTGTTTTTTGAAAGATTGTTAAGTAAAGGGAGTGTCCCTGCATCTTGAAAGGGGTCCAGTATTAAACAAACAGAACCGGTTATGTATTTTTTTTATTAAAAAAAACATTATTTCTATTGTAGTTTATCTTCAGAGTGAAAACGTCATTGATCATAAAAAGGTTTAAAGAGAACCGTTTTGAATCGGACATGCACTTTTTTATATAAAGGGTCACTTGAAATTACAATTTGAGAACAATTAGATGATAAACAAGAATACCTACTTTTATTTAACCTATTTCCTTTTTAAATCGTGAGCATTCTTTTCATTTTTGCTTTTAAAATCTAAGAATAATATATTGTGTTTAGGAGGATGAGAATGATTTTACAGAGAGTGATACGGGAGCACAGAGTGAAATTGGTCTTTGTGAGAAATATTAATTTTTATTAAAAATTTAATGTTTCTGTTTTAAAACAGGAGAGGATAAAATTGGAACTTAAAATTGATATTTTTCTGATTTTGATTGGTCAATCCTAGACAGTAGACATAAATAGACAAATATTATGGTCATATTATCTTTGAAGAAAAAAATCCACTAAAAAACATGATGTATATTGTACATATACCATCAACAATATACAATTAAATCCATGCTAGAGATATCACTTTCCTTCTATTAGTGCAATTTTTTTTAAATGACATTGTGCTTGTCAACAGCAACGCCGGGTAAGAAAATGGTTTGATTTATTTTATCTCAGAATTAAAGCAACATATTATTCTATTTATTACCCAGACTTTTAATTATAAAATATTTTTTGTCTCAACATAAAATAATCGCTTCACAATTTTGGATTTCAAATTTCTCCTCTCATGATTCAATGCAATAAAGGTTTCCCCTCATCCTATGACCCNACCCCCCCCCCCTTCTGAAACTTTTCTGACAATTAAACAAAAAAACTAAATAAATATTACTATTCCAAATGAACTTTGATTTTTGTTTTAATCCGAACACCAACCAAAGCCCTGAGTCTCTTTCTGTAAAAAAATACATTTGCTCCAGTTTAAAGAGTTATTTCAAGTGACCCTCCATGCAAACAAAAAACAATGCCTAATTTCCAATAGTACCCTTAAACATTAATGTGGAAGATAACCTCGTTTTCTTAGAAGCAAGAAATGCGCAATTTACTTTCGCAAGGAAACCGCAAATGAAAATAAACAGTTTATAGAAACAAAAACATCTGACAAAGAGTTTAAGGGTACAGTTGTAAATCGGGCATTGTCATCTTTGGATGAAGGTTCATTTAAAATACGTTTACAGTCCCTTTGAAAGAATGTAAATTGTTGTTTATGTCAAGAATTTAAATAAGAATATTGTAAATACAAAATTTTACACTACAACTCAGTTTTTATTGTTAATATTTAGTACTTCAATATAAATGCATTATCAATTTACTAATAAATTCTTTTTCAAAAATATTTGTATTTAAATAATGGTGACGAGAACTTAAAAAATTATCAGTTTTTAGACAGAAAACGACGATATCTTCCTCAGTTTTGCTGAGATAAGGGATAGTAGTAAGGGTGGGGAAATTTGGTACTTTTTTATAAACATGTTGAGATCCTTTCAGCACGTGTGTCAAAAGTTTCTTTAACAAAAAAAAAACATAAATGTAAAAAAATATTTCACTTTTAAATTCATGCATTGCATCACGTTTTTGTAAATAATAAATCACTAGTGCCAGCAAATAAAAAAAGTTCTTCCAAATTATGTCTTTAAGCACTGAATTCAAAAATGTTAAAATCATAAAAATCGGTTAAACTTTTGATAAGGTAAAAGCAAAAAACGGAATTTTTAGCGAAAGTTTACCAGAGTCCTCTAAAAATAATAGTTTTTTGGCCCTAGATCAACCAATTTTCGCAATTATAGAGGAAATCTTTCATTATATCATCATTTTTTTCCTTTTTCCCTTTCTTCTGACTGAATCCTTATATTCGAGTGATTCCTATTATTTATTTTCTTTGTGAGGATATCTCAAGGAGTTTATCTTTGTATTGACAAATTTCTCTTCAAGCAAGATTTACTTCATTTCTTTGTTTAAGTAGCAAAGACGATTTTTGTGGCAACAGCGATCTCTCTTAATTTCGTTGATTTAATAAAAATAAAAAAAATTAGTTATTTTCCTTTTGACAAAATAATCAAAACGTTTAAAGGAAAATCTCAACTGCCTGCCAAAAATGTCCCTCTGAAAGGCTTATTTGAAAGAACCCATGGTTATCCATGGTAAGCTAAAATCAATTAGAAATTATTTTTTAATCACACGGGCAATGCCGGGCACTATAGATAAAATCATGATTTATTACCATAGCGCAGGTAAACGGCGGGAGCAACTGTGACTAAATAAAATAATAACAAATAATAAAAATTAGTTTTAGAAGAGAACAAAAAATTTCAATAAAATAAAATTTTGTTGAAATTAGTCAACAGAAGTTGATTTCAACAAAGCGACAATAAAATTGTTTAGAAACTTTCTGCTTAAAATTTTATATTTTAATAGGGGAATTATTTCTCATTATTAAATGCGTATCATGAAGTTAAATGCCATAAATAAATTTATACTTCCAGATATATCCAGTACCATCACAATCTCCTGTTGTCAACTCAACATACGGCATACAATCAGGGGTGGATACAGAATTTAAGTGAGGGGGTGCTAGATTGATTTCGGAACAAAAAATCCAGATTTAGGAACCAAAAGACGCGTAGCAGGCGAAAAAAAATTTAAAGATAGATATTTGTTTCTGTTTTGCACTAGGTTCTCCTCCCCTTAAGTACTATATGAGAAGCTTTTCTGAAATCTCAGGGGGGTGCAAAGGTCCTGCCGCCCCCCTGTATCCGACCCTGCATACAATGATAAAGGGGGCACACAAAACGTGAGACTTCAGTAACGACAAAGTTTAATTTCAGCAAAAATACCACTAAATCGTAAACTGTAATTAAACAAAAATCAGGAGTTGATCGGAAAAGTGTACACCAGTTATTTTCATCTGTCTTTTTCAATTATTTCTTTCTTGTAATTCTTTTTATTTCTCCTTATTTCTCACTGTCTTTCTTTTATTTCTCTTTCTTTCTCCCTATCTTTCTTTTATTTCTCTTTCTTTCTCCCTATCTTTCTATTATTTCTCTTTCTTTCTGACTATCTTTCTTTTATTTCTCTTTCTTTCTCACTATCTTTCTTTTATTTCTCTTTCTTTCGGACTATCTTTCTTTTATTTCTCTTTCTTTCTGACTATTTTTCTGTTATTTCTCTTTCTTTCTCACTATTTCTTTTATTTCTCTTTCTTTCTCCCTATCTTTCTATTATTTCTCCTTCTTTCTCACTATCTTTCTTTTATTTCTCTTTCTTTCTCGCTGTATTTCTTTTATTTCTCTGTCTTTCTCACTATCTTTCTTTCACTTCTCTTTCTTTCTCGCTGTATTTCTTATATTTCTCTTTCTTTCTCACTATCTTTCTTTTATTTCTCTTTTTCTCAGTATCTTTTTAATTCTCTTTCTTTCTGACTATATTTCTTTTATTTCTCTTTTTTTCTCGTTGTCATTCTTTTATTTCTCTTTCTATCTCGCTGCCTTTCTTTATTTCTCTTTCTTTCTCTTTATAACGTTATATTTCTTTATACGTTTAAGCTATTTTGAACGAATTTTAAATGAGATATCAAAATATGAATGAAAATATGTCATCATAGACAAGACGCACTATGTTGTAGATAATTTTACTTACTCTTGATGCTTATCCAACTGCAAACCAAGATGTGCACGCTCTCGCGCATAAAACGAGCAGTATTTTGTCAATTACTTCTTTTAAACTCAAGCTAAAAAACGCATTGAATTTCTAAAAATCTTTTTCTCTAGGGCTACAAGAGTTGGTGAGATAAACAAAAGGCCAAGGTAATGAGACTCTTTGAGACTATGGATGCTAAAAAAGGAGAATCTGTATTGTTTTACCAATATAATAAGTCAAAGGGGGAGTTTTTAGATTTTGACATAGAGCCAGGAAATCATTTAAAAAGTGAAAATTTCGCATTAATCATAAATTTTCCCAACTCAACCTTAAATCATAGTCATAGTCATAGTCATAGACATAGACATAGTCATATTTGTAGTCATAGTAATATTTATAGTCATAGTCATAGTCATAGTCATAGTCATAGTCATAGTCATAGTCATAGTCATAGTCGTAGTCATATTCATATTCATATTCATATTCATAGTCGTCGTCTTCACAGTCTCATGCTTTGTGGGTAACCTGTATGTTTGTTGGTACATACTGTAACCTGCATTGCAATGTTATGTATGAAGAAATTCACAGGAGTTCCGCTTCACATTGCTCAAGGATATTGAAAAAACTATTTTATTCCATTTATTTAGANTAGTCATAGTCATAGTCATAGTCATAGTCATAGTCATAGTCATAGTCATAGTCATAGTTATAGTCATAGTCATAGACATAGTCATAGTCATACTCATAGTCATAGTCATAGTCATAGTCATAGTCATAGTCATAGTCATAGTCATAGTCATAGTCATTGCCATTGCCATTGCCATTGCCATTGCCATTATTATTAGGGTGCTGGGTAGTATAGCTGTAAGGGTGGGGAGTGGAGGTAAGCTAGAGCTTGATCTGGTGAAGCAGACCCCCTCACGCTGGCAGAATTTAGGAAAACCTTTAGAATTGGACTCTTGGTTTGGAAATATTCAGGTTTATCTTTTTATTTACGCTTTTTTTGTGGTAGAACCATCGAAAGCCCAGTTTTTTTTTCGGAACTTTGTGAGATTATTTTTTTTCATTTCTTTTTTTCCCAAATGACAAATCACAGATTAACAGAACTTAGATTTTGATTTTTGGTAATCTTATTTTATGAAATTTTGATAGAATCTCTTTAATACTTTAAAAATGTTAATCAAGAATTTAGGAATAAGACACTGTTAAACGAAATTTACTATAAATTGCTATAATTACCATAAAAAACTAATATTTTGAAACAGAATATATATAAAAAGATTAATATTTTAAGAAATCAAATTTCATGTTTAAAGTTTTCTTTTATCAGGATATGAAACTGACATACCGGAAATACACAGTGACCCGTGTTGAGAATTGTACTCATGATACTAAACATGTTGTACTAGAACCTGTTTACAGTACACACCTTGTTGTACCTCCAGGTCAGTACATGGTACAAACACAGTCCTAAACATCAACATATATATTTTGCTTGTCTGTCCTTTTTAACAAATAAACCTCAAGACGGCTGAACAGTTCGGGCCCAATTTTTTGTGGGACATTACATTACCTCAGGGAAGGTTTATGGAAAATCAAAATTGGAAGGAGAAAAAAAATCCTGGAAAATAGTTTAAATTTGAAATTAAATTCGCCAAAATTCAAAAATGATCTTTTAAATGGCCACTTTCAGAGTAACATTTTCAAGCTAAAGGCTTAGTTTTAAAAAACTTATCAATTTATTTGATTTGATTATTTATTTCATTGGCTTGAACTTTGGTCTCCTATAAATTTAGATAAAGTAAATTAAGTATGAAAGCAAATGTTATTTACTATGAAGGTTAAAAACAATGGTGGTACATTTTTTTTAAATTAAAAGCCTAGAATTGTTATTTATGATAAAATCACTCGTTATTGCAGACGTCATGCTAGGTCATAAGTCCAGAATTCGTCATAAATAAATAAATGTGTAGTAAATTATTATTGTGCAAGAATTTACCCAAGGGGGGAGGGCCGCGACCGTGACGTTATGAGATACATCATACATCCTCCTAACGAGGTTATAATGTATAGAGTTATGATGTACGCTAATCCTTAACTAATTATATAGGCAATAAACTATACCGAGAGCGTACTGCATGTTTGTTTATTATGAGGAGATTCTGGCCTAGCCTATAGTACATCATTATTAGTAAACAGCTGTCGACATTTATTTCCTTCTTAGATAGATAGATGTTTAACCATTGTTGTTATTATTATATTTTTATTTTCTTTGTTTAGGGAAGCATATTCATATTCGTGGAGAAAGAGAAGAACTAGAATTAGTGAGAAGTTACACCCCTGTTATACCTTTAAACTCGGGGACAGGTAAATAGGGACATGCATTCTAGATAAGACAACGCCACTCAATAAATGAAGGGTCATTTGAAAATATGTTTACAGTCCCTTTAGAGATATATATACGATATTGATAATAATTTAGGATGGGACATTAATAATAATATAGGATGGCCATTCTAGGTAATGATGGAAACAAGTTATTTTTGAGTGACAGTTAACAATTAAAACATATGTTTCATAAATCTTAAGATAAGAAAATAATGTTAAAACTTCAGCAAATTGGTTTTCGTAATTGATGGAGAATAGGAGCATGTGTCAGATAGATCACAGACTATGTTTGAGAGACGCTTGGACTGAAAGATGGAGCCCTAAATGTATCCAGAAGAAATTCTGTGTCTGGAATGTATAATCTATCTAAAGAGATATTAATAATAATATAGGATGAGACTTTAATGAAGGCTTGGCCATCTCATGAAGAACTATTTTAAAGTTAGAAAACTAAATTTGATTTAGGATTTTTAGTAATTAAGAAGACTCCACAAAATATGAGAAATAAAACATATTTGATATTTTAAACTGACATGTAGTGATATGAAATAACATGACATATTTGATATTTTAAACTGACATGTAGTGATATGAAATAACATGACATATTTGATATTTTAAACTGTATTCCATAAAAGTTTGCCTTTATTACACTATGCAGTATGCAAATCTTGACTCTGGCAGAAGATAGAAACCTGAACGATTTTTTGCAAGGCATTCGTTAACAACTTAACACACAATTGATTTTGCTTCTGTCAGAGGTAAAACTGAATTCCAGTAAAAAACTTATCGAAAATTTGATTATGAATTATGAAAGACTTCACAGATTTTTGAGAATCCTTCTAAACGTCAAAATCCTTGAATATCTAAAAAAACGGACAACAACGATGCCAAACTATAAGCTGCAGTCAACCATTTCAGAAATAAGACGAAATAAAATCTGACTACATTCTCCTCAGCTTAAAATTTACTCAATAAAGGAATTGAGTCTTTGACACAAATTCAAATTTTCCTGTCCCTATATATTTGCAACCTGATATTAGATTAATTAAACTAACATATTTCCTAGTTTGAAATATTGTAAGCATGGAGAGAGGCTTAGTTGTAAATCAACTGTAGTTAACGATAGCAGTGGGACGGATAACAAGTCATCTCATCTATATCATATAGGAAGATTTAGCTGTTAAAAAATGCCAACCCAGAGAAGATGCTTTGAATGCATGATCAAACATGAAGAAAACCAAAGCCACTGTTGGACCTAGAATTCTATTTAAATTCAAGCCAATAGGCATGCGACACAGCTTAACATGTGGTAGTAGAGGAGGAAATAGATCTAGTTAAAACCGAAATGAAAGTTAGTATTCATGAAGAGTCTGAAGATGGAAGATTAACTCGTCGGACGAGGCGAATGAAAGGCGGAGAGTCAGTTAGAGAGCCCTGGCTTTCCATGATTCATTAGTATCAATTCTATTTGTTTATTTTTTATTTATAAATACATTTTTTCTTGTACTCTTTAGTTTTAAGGCTTTAGATATCCTTTATTTCATACCACTTTTAAATGGTGACACTATCTAAAATCTACGACAGTGGGTTGCAAATATATAGGGGTTAGAAAATTCCATTCTTCAGATTCGGAGGATTCGGAATTACACTTTCTTATCAAAATATATATGGATGGTGCGTTCACTCCCCTCATAGATGACCTTAAAATAGGTAATTTTATATTTTTAGGGAATTGGTTTATTAAAATCGTATGAGGGTAAAAGCGATATTAAAAAATCAAAATTTATTTTTGGCTTTCGGAGTCAATGATATCAGTGTAAATCTAATACAATGTAATACATTGTAAATATTGTGAACGAATTAAATTGTTTAAAACGATCTGTAAAAGAACTTAATGAACCACTTGGTAATAATCAAGGTATGGTAATATTAAACTGTTTAAATCCTAGGTTTACTTGGGATTATTAGAATAGACAAAATATGTAAAGAATTACATTAGGAGTGATAACATAACAAAATTTAGATATATTTTATAATAAAAATTCAATACTTAAATAAATTAACAAAGATTGATTGCACAGAAATAAAAATCCTGTAAATAAATAATTGTTTAGAAAAACTATCATATAAAGGAATGATTTTTTAAAATATCATTTAATAAATTATTTAAGAAAAAATATCAAATAAACGAATGATTTAAAAAAATTATATTAAGAAATGATTATAAAAAATGTCATATAAAGGAATTATTTAGAAAAATTGTATCATGTAACGAATTAAATGATTTTAAAACCATAAACACAATTAAGCAATTATTTACGAAGGTGGATAAACTGTTCTGAAACAAAAATGATAAAATAAACTTGTGAATATTATTTTCAGGTGATGAGTTGGAGTTGAGTGATTATACTGGAGATTTCAATATTAATAAACTGAAGGAGTTCTCACAGATATATCTTATAGCAGCAGGAACAGGTAGGATTATCTAAACATCATGATAATATTTATTAACTCAAGGAGTCCTCACAGATATATTTTATAACAGCAGGAACAGGCAGGATTATCTTGATCATCATCATAATATTTATTAACTCAAGGAGTCCTCACAGATATATCTTATAACAGCAGGAACAGGTAGGATTATCATGATCATCATGATAATATTTATAAACTCAAGGAGGTCTTTCTGTAGATATATCTTATAGCAGCAGGAACAGGTAGGATTATCATGATAATCATGATAATTATGTTAATCATGTTAATCATGATAATCATGATGATATTGATATCTACTTGCTATAAAGACCAAGTTAATGGGAGTTCCAGTATTGCTATAAAACATACTTAAAACACAACAAAGATACTTTAGATATTTCATTGATTGAAATGATAAATGAACTAAAACATAACCAATATAAAAAGTGTGAGCTCTACGAGATGTTGAGTACTGGTAGACTGCTGTAGATTCTTCAACGCCATTTTTAAATACTCATTCAGTTAATTCTTCCGGATTATACAGATCCTACTTCAGTAGTATGCACTTATGGAACTTGGTTTATCATGATAATTATGATTATCATCATTATTATGCTCTTTACTGTACTGTGCAGTACTATACTGAACAGTACTGTACTTTATTATTATTCTTTAAGTATAATTTTTTTCTTTTTACTTAATATTTGTTGCACAACGAAATCAAAGCATTAAGCAACCAAAGTGTTATTATTGCATGAAACAATAATACGGAGTACTGCATTAAGAGTTTTAGAATTGGTACATAGTATAACATTTGGGTATGAAAAGGGTTTCCAGCGCAATATATTATTCTCTTAATTTCGCGAAATTTTGTATTAATTACGCGCGTAATTATCGAAACTTCAATTTCGCGAAATTACGCCGTAATATCGCGTAATTTCTACAAAGTAATCTTGCGAAATTTTGCAAGAATTACATCTATGAAATTTTGAAGTTTTAACTTTTAATTTAAATAAAACAACTAACTTACAAGGAAAATAATGTCACGCAAGTTGAATCAGAAATTTCAGTCAATACTATGTTTGTTAACCATTAATTTTAAAACCTCTATAAAATGTCGTCTTCAACTTGAATCTCCTGTCGGAGACAGCCAAACCAAATTTTTCAGCCCGCAATTCCCTTGTCCTCCTCCGACGGAGCTTAAAATATTTTCGTTGTTGTGAAATCATTAAAGTTAAGCAAAATATTTTCATAAGAAGCATTAGTGAATTTTGTTAAATATTCAACTGTAATTTTTCAGAAGTTAAAAAAACGTATTTCAATACTGATCAACAAATAAGTCACCCCCGACCATCCTTAAATAATTCGTAAGATTTTTTCTACTATTAATATTCATTATAACATTGTACAAGTAAACATGACCTATAATTTATGTTATATTTTAGGAAATAAAGATTTTGTTATCGAATTTCTGAGACGGGGTTACTCTGTTGTGTGTGTATTTGTGCGGCCTATCGGGAAAGAATTGTCTGGGGATAATAAACATCCCCCACCAGAATCCTAACCGGCCTATTATCCTGATTTGTCTAGCGTGTTGCTGTTTTCCGTCAACAATGTTGATGTAATTTCACGTTCGACAACTAAAAAGTTTAACAAAGGGCCAACAATTTATTTTTATCAAAAAATGCATTATCTATAAATTTTCAATTTTCGACGACTTGTTAATATTTCAACCTACTTTCTCAAGTTTACCTTCCTTGTTTGAAAAAAAATGTCAATAAAATCTTCAAAATATGTTTGATATGGTTGTAGCGGGCATGTCCTTACACATACTTTCCCGCTATAATTATTTCCTTGAGAATTAATATGTACTTTATTTATTACGGAATTGTTTCGTATTACGTAATTTCGCGTAATTACGCGTAATGCTCCTGCGTAAGTGAAAGAAAGTGTTACGCGTAATTACGCGTAACGTAATTACGACTGGAAACCCTAGACCGTATGAATTTGTTTCTATCAAAACGTAAGAAAAATATTAATTTTGATAAACATGTGATAATTTAGAATTTGATAGTAAAATATTTGCTCATGTGTAATTTCACATGACCTACATTTTTAAAGGAGAATGCCAGATTCCCAACAGTACCCATACACCTTTATCTGGTCAATAATGTTGAAGATAACCTAGTTGTTGTAGCTTGAATTTCATGCAATTTTGTTTATTCTTTCTAGTCTATACAGTGTCCGAATTTAATGAATTTGAGCCGCGTCTCAAATTCCCCAAAAACTGGTTTCAATTGAGCGCCGTCTTAAATCTTGAAAAATTTTATGCAATTTTAAGTGGAACCAACCATATTTAAGACCCGGCTTAAATTTAAGCCGCGGCTCAAATTCTTAAAAATTCGGCCTCAGATGAAAATAATAAATTTTCTAAAAGAAGATAGATATCTTCTGCATCATTGATCACTGAAAGTTAAAGTTGTGAATCAGACATTCCGTTCCAAAAATGGAGTGAAATTTAAGTCTTGACGACGACATTTAACATCTAGGTATTACGCCGATTGCGAGAATACTACCCCTGCTTAGTGGAGTAAAGACGACATTGATTTATTTCAACAAAACTATCAAGGAAATCATTAGAATATCTTTATGTGGATATTTATAGAAAAAGATTCAGCAACCTTTATGATTTAAAGTATTTTTGAAAAGTACATACCGACAGTGCTTAGGACCCAAGGGACAATTCCTCTCTAAACATAAATGTTCACAATGAGCGATTATTACAAACTTCATTATATCTGAATGGATCTAAGTGTCAGAATAAAAATAAGCGGGGAAAACAAATGTCGAAAAAATCCTATCGCACAGAAATATGCAGAAGATATGAAACCAACGATTGCTCTTGTTTAATTATGATTCAGCTGCAAACTTTTTAGAAGTTTTTTATATAAATAGATTTACTATTTATTTATTTTAAATAAGTAATCATTTAACAATATTTTACGCAGACCACATTTATGCTTAAACTTATTGCATTAAAATATTTCAGGTCGTCTTTACACTCACATCAGTGTGTAATGTGTATCCCAGAATTCCTTGATTTGTTGAAAATGATTCAATAATGCACTGCTTTCTTTTTACAAGTATATTTCAACCAAAACTACTTTTTTACAACAAAAAAATTAACATTTGAAAATATCCTTTTTTTAATACATGCTGTTAGGTTATTTTATACATACATAAAAACAAAATGATTTATTTTTTTTAAACTCGTTAAATTGCCAAACACATTTTGAATGTAAACAACTGAATATGCATTTAAAAGTCTAAAGTTTAAATCTTGTTTATTTAACTATAAAATTATGCATCAATGTTTTAAATGACTCCTAAAAGAGTTTAATTTTTCAAATGATTTCTGGGAATGGTAGGATGTAATCTGGGGAAAGGAATTGTCTCTATTTTCTGAATCTAATTCCTGGTTTAAGATCCACAATGTGTTCTCTCAACAGTCTGAAGAAAGGTAATTGAAAGGAACTGTCGTAGTCATTTTGAATGATCCTTTATTCCTAATTTACAACGGTTCTCTTGAATCCTTAATCAGATCAGTATTGTGGAAGATAACGTCGTTTTTCTAGATTGAAAATTACTTAATTCTGATTCCGTCAGTCTATTATTTTCTAAAACAAGAAAAAGAACTTTGTAAAAATGAAAATAAATACTAGTTATTTAAAACATGACATGACTATCTAATTTGATCATACAAAGCTATAAATGGTTATTATTGTGGATCCCTTTTATTCCAAATCCCGTAGTTCACTGCAGGACTTAACATGCACGCTTTCAGGATTTTGGCAATTACCCATTTTAAACTAAAGCTAGAAACAAGCTGGTTGCAGTTTTAGAATGAACATGTCCAGGGCTACAAAAAAGTTATATCAAGTTGGTGAAGTAAAACCTAGCTAAAGGCTATGCGAATCTACACTTCATGTTTAATGCATTTTTCAAAGTTGTCTGGAACTCTGCAAGTTCAGGGTCAATCCAAGCAAAATGTTTTTTAACCCTATTTTTGCATTTTATTATTTATATTATGAACTAGCTCAAAGGCCCGGCGTTGCCCGTGAAACAAACATTTGTAAAAATTATAATTTTTTTTAAATCCATTTTTTAGCCGGCTATAGGAAACATATATATGCATGTCTTGTTTTATCATATAAATTTAGCGAATTAAAAAATGTTGTTTGGGTTCTGCCAACCATATGGAGTAATCGTCTCGTAAATACCTAGATCTGTGCAGCTTTCAGTCCTTTAAAAATGGTTTCGCTTATTCCGCCCTAATTTCTAAAAGTTTTTTTTTCATTCTAAACTGCTTCAGGAGAAGTTTTGTGAGCAAATTGAATTTAATTCTTCAAGAAAATTTTCCAATTCATTTTTATTTATTTATTGATTACTAGCTGAAGGGCCCGGCATTGCCCGTGGAAACTTTAAATATTTTTAAAAAATTTAGAAAAAAAATATCAAATTTCTTTAGCCTTAGACACTCCTCGGCATTTCAAGGATAAACTCTTGTTGTTTCAAAATAGTTCTTAGAAAATGTATGTTCAAAGAGAAAAAAGTTATGAAACTATCAGATGCTGTGTAGTATAATATAAAAAATATGTTTGCTTGTAGTCAATTAAGCGGGAGAATTTCAAAACAAGTTCTTGAGAAGTTTATATATTCAGGGGTAAGTAAATAGATATGTTTTATGACATCATTTTCTAACATTCAATTGAAATTAAAAAAGTGAGATTTTCCTTAATTAGACCAAATAAACGTAACTTTTTATATACTTTTTTGCTGGTGTATGCCTTTTATTATTACTTTATTACAAGACAACTTTTCTATGTTCAAAGATGCTTGATTTAAATACCAAAACGCGGTCGAATTCAAACTGGTTAATCCGGGATGGGTATTTAACTCTGATATTTTTGTCAACGGGAGGTATTTATTTTAATGTCAAGATTTTTTTTATTTCAAATCAATTTTTTTTAAGAGAGAAAACGCATTTTCCTGTGTTTGTGGACCAATCCCATTCAATCAAGAGGCGGAGAGGTAATGATAATTTACAACTACTTTACAGGGAAGTTAAGGGAATTGTACCAAGGATTCAGAAGACCAATTTTACTCACACAACATCCAGGGCTCAGCGAGAGATGTTTTGAAGGCAAAATTGGTCGAGAGAACCCGCGGTTTAATAAATCCCCGAACAAAATAGTTATACACAATTTTATCGTCTAGCTTTTGAGATGAAAATGCGCGAATTTTTTCACGAAAACTTCAGAGCCGGTCGTTATTGTACTTAATTGTCCCAAGGGAATCATTAGTCGGTTTGGTCAAAAGGCGGAAAATAAAACTAAATAAATAGGACTGTGGACATAATTTGAAGTGACCCAATATATCTTAAAAGATGCTAAATTCATAATAGTAACATTAAACTCTTTCATGGGCAACAATAAGTAAGATATTGACGTTGTTATGTGTTATATTCTGCAACTTTTTTATTTGTTGAGTGATATCACAATTGAAAATAATCCAAACTCGTAGATAGATGAATAAGGATATCTACATTTTTAGTCAGAATAAGACTTAAAGCCGCAAAGGCGGTTTTGGGAGGGGGTGGCAGTCCATTACCCCCCCCCCCCTGAGTAAAATTAGGGGGGTGTACCCCCCTGGATTTTTACAAAGACATTACTCCGAAGGCTTTTGACCTGGTACAGGTCATTTATGACCACTGACAGGTTGGTCAAGCTGGAAAGAATGGCGATGCACCCAAAGAGGCTTGCCTCAATTTCGGACAACAGTGTTTTAAATGCCTTTATTTCAAGCGGCCCAAGAAAACTAGATTATCGTAGATTGGAAGGATTTCAAAAAAATTTTATTTTCAACAAAATTTCCTTCTTTTACTTTCAGCCTTCTTACGGTAAACTTTTATTTCTAACTCAAAAAACATATAAATTAGGATGATTTAAGAAGCATTATTTACTAAAAGATCAATAATAATAGTATGAAATAAAAATAATTCTCCCTTCATTAATGGATTATTAAGACATTTGCCTATCCTATTCTAAAAATAAACTGTAATATTTTGTAGGGTTAGAGCGGTAAATAGAACTTCTTAGCAATAGAAGGGGGGATCATGTTAATNGGGATACATTTTTATCCCCACCCCCATGTCTTAGGTCCTGAAACCGCCCTTGCTTAAAGGGTACCGTTGTGAATCGGTCATGTCCTTGTTGAACTATTTGAACATTGATTTTTTCTGTTTGAAGGATATCGTGTTGGCACATTAATAACCTGCTACCATTACAAATTTCTAAATTTTCTTAAATTTCGAGATTGTTAATTCTTCCTGGATTGTCCAACCAACCAGGGATGCGTGCAGCGCTACAACCTGCCAGGGAGACCCGCCAACCCACCTGCACTCCAGACTGGAGGGTTGGACACCAGGCAGGCGGGCAGCGCTACAACCTGCCAGGTAGACCTTCCCACCCACCTGCACGCCTGACTGGCGGGTTGGACAATTCAAAAGGATTTTAATGATTGAATTTTCTCTCACTCACATTTCTAACAAAGTACAGCATTCTCAGCTCAACTACCATGTCTAACCAGACACTCTTTTAATAAAGATTTATTTTTAGGCTTTTATCGCAAGATTTTGGATTCAGCTCTTCGAGTATTCATATCTTTCAAGGATAAACTCTTGTTGTTTCAAAATAGTTCTTAGAAAATGTATGTTCAAAGAGAAAAAAGTTATGAAACTATCAGATGCTGTGTAGTATGTTTTAGCAAAAATATCAAAGCCTTAAGTGAACTGTATAATTGGCCAATTACTGTCTAGAAAGACTTTTTGAAGTAAAATCAGTAAAAATTACATCAAAGAAATTTTTTTGGCCGCATTTTGACAGTCAGGCATTTGACTTAGGGGTTTGATTTTTTGCTACAATAAGTTTCATGACTGTTAAAGAAAAATTAAAAAATTTGGAGACCATGTGATATACTGTTTAATAAATATCGTCAAAAAACCCGGAAAAGTCTAGAAACGAAATTTTTGTTTAATTTAAGACCTGTGAATGCAATTGATTTCTACAATTTCTTAAATATTGATTTGCTCAAAATTCCTTAGGTGGCATTTTCTGAAAACTGAGAACATAACTCAGTAGCCTGCATATAAAAATAATCAAAAGAAAAGTTTAGGTGTTTTTGACTTGAAACCTGATGGTCCATTTTTCTTTTTAACTTTTTTCTTCCCATGCAGACAATAATATCCGATAAATATTAATATTGGTATTGCAATGTTTTTTCTTCCCATACAGACAATAATATCCGATAAATATTAATATTGGTTTTGCAATGTTTTAACAATAATAATATATTATGCGTAGGAAGAAAGTGTAATAATCAAAATTATTGTTATAATATTGAAACCACGGTTTTTCTTTCAATATTATAACAATAATTTTGATTATTACACTTTCTTCCTACGCATAATAATATTATACCACATTCTTGGAGGATTTAAATGCATTCCCAGAATTAATATGTTAATTCTTATTTTAAGTTGATCTATCTATCTATCAAGTTCCCGGTGAATAATTCTTGATATTGTCACTTAGGTCGTGGATCTATCTATCTATCAAGTTCGCGGTGAATAATTCTTGATATTGTCACTTGGTTCGTGGAATATCATAATTATTACACAAAATGGGTGACAATAACAAGAAATATTCCGGATTTGGCTACGTAGTAAATCCGATAAGAATGTGGTATAATAGCTAAGAGCTGAAATCTTTAGAATGGTGGATATCAAGATCAATGCTTGATCTCCTCTTTTTCTTAATCTCCATATCAAATGGTTTTTAATCTCCAGATTAAATGGTTTTTAATCTCCAGATTAAATGGTTTTTAATCTCCAGATTAAATGGTTTTTAAGCTCCAGATTAAATAACCGGTCGGGATTAAGGAAATCCAATTCTGAAGTTTTCAGCTCTGATAATATATTTCGAGATCGGAACTTCTGTGTATGGATAATCTTGAACACTTGAACTAGATATCTAAAATGGGCACTTAATAACTTGATACTCAATGCCAATACCATCACGGAATATCTAAGAGGGATTAAGATAATCCGTATATCTGCTTAAGATGGAGATCAGAATGGGTTTGCAGGCATTTCCTAATAGCGGCATCTCTGATGATTAACACAAAACACTTTTTATTGGTTTTTGCTGTATTTTTTCGATAATTTCTCGGTGCTGGTAGATTTTACAAAAATGTTCGAAACGAAACATCAAAACAATTGATTACTAAACAGTTTAATAATTCGTTTTCTTTACTAAACTTATGAACACTCTTTAAAAGCAACATATTGTTGTGATTTATGAATTAGTAACATGTGAAAAGACATTAAACTGAAAAAAATCTTCTGTATCAATTTTAAAATGCATGTTATATGTTACGTTATGAAGTATATGTTTATTTATATTTAATATCTGCCTATGAACCCATGGTCAAGAGTATAATTCTGATAAAAAATGTATTTTAAAAATAATTATGTTTTGTTTTCTGGAGAAAATGAGAAAACGTACATCAGTTGGTGATCCTGTGTCCGAATTTAATGAATTTAAGCCGCGTCTAAAATCCTCCAAAAACCGGTTTCAATTGAGCGCCGGCTTTAATCTTAAAAATGTAATACAATTTTAAGTGGATCCAACCATATTTAAGCCGCGGCTCAAATTCTTTAACTTCGGCCTCATGTTTACAAAGGTTATTTGACTAAGAAAATATATCATACGTTTCTTATTATGATGCAACAATATTTGTTTCAGACTAGAATACATGTTCTTAAGTTATGTTTATTTTATTCATTTTATTCATTTTGTTCATTTTCTTCATTTTGTTCATTTTCTTCATTTTCTTCATTTTATTCATTTTATTCATTTTATTCATTTTATTCATTTTATTCATTTTATTCATTTTATTCATTTTATTCATTTTATTCATTTTATTCATTTTATTCATTTTATTCATTTTATTCATTTTATTCATTTTATTCATTTTATTCATTTTATTTTTATTCATTTTTTTAATTTAATTTATTTTGTTTTTAAGGCATACTTTTAAGTGACCATCTATGTAAAGATGGCGTCGCCCGATTCACAACGATACCCTTGAAACCTTTATCTGGTCAAGAATGACATAGATACCGTCGTTTTTCTGACTTGATTTATTTGAGAATTTCTCCAATGCTTTGTATAAGCAAGGAATGCGCAAATCACTTTTGCAGAGAAACTGCAAATTATAATAAACAAGTAACAAATACATAGATACAGGGTGTCCCAAAAAACATTGGAATTCAGTGACGAATTGGATATCGTCTTTGTTATGAATTAGCATTGTAATACCTAATTTTAAAAGCCATAATATCATTATGTCTACTAGAGGTTATTTTATGAAAAGGGTAAAAGACTAAAGATGCGTCTATAATGTCTCCGCAAGATGAGCAGTGAAGACGGACAAGTTTACACTGTTTGTATTCTGTAATTTTCTTATTTTACAAAGTACACCCTTATGCAGTCAAAACATAAACAAACAAATGTGAACATAGCTGACGGAACTCTAACAGATTACAGCTTTCTCAGTAGGCATCACTATACTATACAAAGAATTATTTAAAAAGACTATATAAAATTCGTCACTGAATTCCCATGTTTTTTTGAACACACTGTATCTAATTCATACTTGATCAAACAAAGCTTTCAATGATTCTGTTGTATTGCATTGACATCTTTGCATGAACGTATCTGTAGGTAGGGTTGTTAATCGATTTTTAACAAAAAATACAAACAACCTACCTTAAGTAACGAAGTGACGAACTAAAACTAAAAAACGACTTTGTTGTTTCTTCGTCCTTTTAAAAACGAAACGATTGTTTTCAAAAAAGCATCCCTACGTATAGAGTCGCTTGAAATTACGCTTACAGTCCCTTTAATTAAGCAGATACTATTTTATTAAGTTTCAAACCAATATGGGAAACAATTTTGAGAGATAAATAAAATTAACATTTTTTCTACAAAAGCTAGAATTCAGTAATCCAGAAAACTCCAAAGTAGGAGGACGACTTTAGACTCCAGTAATCACTTTTTAAAATGGTTCAGTGAGCATGGTACACTGCAAAACAGACACATTTCACTTACTAAGCGATTCAATAAGTGTCTGGTGGAACTATTTGCTTTGTAACAACATCAAAACTTTAGTATTGCTGTAGAGTCTTCTATTTACTTCAGAGGTTTCTGGTTTTCACTATACCCATGAAACTTCAAGAAAAGTTTTAAAATTCGCAAAAGAATGCTATGAGTTTTCGCGTAAAGGAGTTTTTAATTCTAAACGCTCTTCTAAAATTTGAGACGTTTCATGAATTTGAATGATCTCTAATCACCAAAGTTTGCTCTTTTATTTACTGTGGATATTAACATAAAATACATAGGCCGATCATCATCTTTTATTTACTGTCGATATTAACATAAAATACATAGGCCGATCATCATCTTTCTTCGATCGGGCTGCAATTCTCAGTCATATTCAAAATTTTGTATGAAGTATAATTTTATCATCTTTTGAAACAAAAACGTGTGAGTTTTGTTATGTAAACTTCATATAGCGGTGGTTATTTTACTACTAGGGACGTTATGTAACTTACCGTCCCTCTATTAAGGGACTCTGGCTCGGTAATGTTGGCCAAAAGGCGGTAAAAATATTTTTAGTTTTTATAATCAAAATCTTGCATACATTTTTTTAAATGGACAGTATAAATACTAAATACCCGCTGTTGAAAGATCAAAAGGTTGCATCGATCACAGTGATTCTTTTATCGATCACAGTGATTCTTTTATCGATCACAGTGATTCTTTTATCGATCACAATAATCAGAAGGTTGCAAGAGTTGCAAAATGATGAGAATTTTTTCCACAACTTCTGAAAAACTAAAGCTTAGTTCTAAAATGTAATTGCCTTAACACACTTTAGAGACGAAGCAGTGTTTTTATAGCAGTCTGGTTCTATCAAATACATGTATTAAAATTCTCTGGGAAACAACGCTATTGAAAAATAAAAACATGAAATGCATAAAAAAGTTGGCATTATAGGTTGTTTCTTAAACAGTATCAGCTGAATGTTAAAAGTAAATGTCAAATCTAAATACTGGTTTAGAACCTTTCAAGTTAAAATTCATCAGCCCTCACCAGTCTACATAATATACTTTGACAGAAGGGTTGGTCAATGGGCATCCTAGGAAGATTATTAAAAGTAATTTATGATTTACTTTCCCATTCTTAACAAGAAATAAAAATAAAAAGTTGAAGTACTGAAAAAAAACTAAATCTGCTGATTTAAGAAAATGAAAATGTACATCTGGGTTTTCAATATTTTTTTAATTAATCTTAAACAAATTCGAGTTGTTTTTGTAAATTTACAATAATTTAAAAAAACAGACATGTCAAAAAACATCCCCCAAGTTTTGTCTTAACATAAAGTCAATAAATCGAATCAGCTAAAAAAGTTTTTTTTTACTTTGATGCCTTTAAAGATGTTTCAAGGTTAAATTATATCTAATTCAACCTTAAAAATTTTACAGTATTTAATAAGGATCTTGTTGTTGAACTTGAAAGCCATGAAAGAAAGATTTACAACAAACTAAGTCTAAAGATACTTTGAACCGAGATAATCGATTAGGAATTATGTGTCATATTTCTAAACTTGATTTTGCCGAGCCTTTCATAT